CGAGGTTTGTATAAATTGTGAATTTCTCTTACCCTAATAGTACCGTATAGGAACTAAGCTCCGACTTTGTTTCGCCTATCCGGAGGTTCTGGATTATGCGTCACCCGAAGATACAGTTCGACCGTTACAGAGCCGCTTCTGGCCCTAGCACTCCTCGTTGAAAATCCACATGTGAATATGTGATGCAGTATTAAACAATGTAGAAAGGGCTGTTTAAATGCATGCCAATCGGGGCAAAAGAGCATGACGTGGCGTCTTGGGGAACAATTCGTTCCCCACCAACCCTCGTTTTTCCAAGTTTAGCCTATGCTGTGCTTACAAACACACATGACCAAATGAACAAAAGGTCTCCCGGCACGCCCAGTAGCTCAGGCGAGACCGCGGTAAAATACCTGTGCCAATTTTACCAAGTTTCCACTTTTGTTGACGAGTGCTTATTATTCCGCAGGCTCACCGCAAGGGGCGGCCTTGTTACAGTGGTGTTTATAAATATCCCACTCAAATAATAAATTTCGTTACTGTAAAATGAAGTCACATCCCTGAAATTTCCTAATAAATCAACACAAACTGATGTTGATTAAACATAAAATCGGTAGAGCCTTTAAAGTCTGTTATGACGTGGTATGAGTGGGTTTGATTGATAAGAAATTTAGACGAATGGAGGCGATTTACCGCTCAGATTTGGGCAAGCCCATCAGAATATATGGGACACATTTCAAACAATGCAACACTAATCTTACATAATTATCACAGATTATATTATGCTACCTGAGCCAACAATTTCCGCACGTGGCTTATTAATACCCGGTGGGGGGCAGTGGACCAAAAGGCTCAATTCGCTGTACTGTATGGTATAAGACAGAGATACCAAGAAAGATGGACCATTTCGCTTGCTACCAAGAGAAACTAGTGAATCACCCACGGTTTGCACATAGCCATCTGAGGTGGTATGTTTATTTTGTGGTACGCACAATGCACTCGAGCTTGGATTTTCAAGAAAGACAGAAAATTCGGAAGTAAGTCATTTTTCGGGCGAAACACTGGCATGTACACCGACGTGAAGCCATGGTGTACCCTGATTAAACAGTGTTGCGCCGAGTGTAAGACTTATGAATGGTTAGCAGTCTACGGATATGTTATCTTTCAGCCACTTCGCCGGCATAATGCCAAAGGCATCAAACCGAGGATAGACAAAAAAGGTTAGATTTCAGTGGAAGGGCCTTGGAAAATAAGAGTTTTCTCTTTCTCCCTCACTTTTACTTCGGAATCTAGGAAAACGCTCGGGGCAAAATTTTGCCTGCTGCTTTTAACTTGCCATGGTTGTTAACAAGCACAGTGGTCTCCAATCGTTGGACTGTGCCCCAGAGTGGCACCATCTGGTTACGACCATAGTATACGAATAAAAACAAGTACAAATATAAGCCATTAGAAATAATCCGAAATCGCACAAAGAACGCGTGCGGAATTGAGAGATTGGCTCCAAATTTGAAGCTCCATCTGACTCTGTCTGAAAACCAAATATCTCCCAAAGCCATCCCCTGACTTTTGAAAGTTGAAATGTTACCGGTTGAGTAAAAAGAAAACTCGGGAGTGCCGCAATTCTAAATAGCTTGGGCCTTAGAAACCCCACCATAACAGTCCGCTTCATATCATCCATATTTTTTACTGGCCGCAATGTCTGTTAATTTTTCTCTTAGATCCTTCCAATTGATAATGAATACATTTAGTGCAGTCAAGAAAACGTGTCATTGCAACCACCGGCACAACTGCTTTGCTGTTTAATGGGCCATATTCTTAAAAAAAAGCTCTCAATATAACCGTATTTTCCTGTGGGACACGTAGCAAGTCTAGCTAATACAAATACATCCTTTTTTGAGACAATATGTTTCGCACGGTGTTTTATCCACGGTATATACTGGCGACCTTGGACTGTCTTAGAGGATATAGGCGTGGTATGCATGCTAAGGTGAATGGAGCATTTTATTGGACGAACTGGCAAAGCAGCATCCTACTCCATCTGTCGGACTCATGTATATTCAGCCTACATACCCATGCGACCAAAGCGCCATAACCTCTTCGCATAGCTCCAGTCCGTTCCGCTCTTTTACTTGCGAATGCTTCGCTATCTACACTGGAACGGCTATGGTACTACTTTGCGTTAAGCAAACGAATAATATCTCAATCCAAGTGCACCAGCCTGCGAATCAGTAAACCATGCCAAAGTATCAATTGAGAGCAACTCCAAGATTAATATCAGCTTCAGTTATCCCCGGTTGTTTACACCAAATCAAACGTAAAGTCAGTATTATCTAGAGTTTGGCCAACTGTAAACAGATGAAGTTTACCTTCACTGGATAACGGGAACCAAGAATGCACTAGCAGAAGTAATTTGACTTGTATTCGATGCTGTCTAGACAAGCAAATTGTTTATCATTCTCTTATTACTAAAAATTATTGTTCTGTACCACCTATTCCATATGTTTCAGTGACATATATAGAGGTTCGCAGCAATAAACACTCTGGGGATCGCGCAATTTTTTTCTGTGCTGTCTTCAAGTTTGCAGGGAAATCAGTTTACAGTGGTTACGCTTAACCAATTGGGATAGATCCAGAACCCAGCTAGCGCATTCACTGATAGAAAATCTGGTTATTCACGCGGTAAAATGCAAACGGTTGGGATTTTGACAGCTTCGTACTAAAGCGGTAACCCACAAGCAACTAGCACCTGGGACACGTACTTAGTGGCACCTAATCAAAACGATGTACATATCCCCAACTTAATCGACTGTACACTCAACCCGGCATCGCTGAGACCCCGGGATGCCTAAATGGAGCTTATAAGTTTGGACTGGTACTTTAAGTTCAATTTTCCGATTGCTTCAGTCCATCAAGGACACACCATAACTTCTGAAAATTCAATTCCATTGTGCAAATAGTGATCGTCACCGGAATACCAGAGGAGTAGGCCATGGTAAGGAAAACAGTGATTCATATGTGGCCTAAGGTAACAATGCTAAAAAAAGGGAGAAACGCGAAGTTGGGGAATAATAAAAATGTCTGCAGGGGCTCAACAGTTATCCGGATATTGAGTTACACATTTGCAAAGTTGCAGGTGAGAGGGTTTGTTATGGGTAAAAACGAGTTGAGCGTTCATGAAGCTGTTCAGATGTGTTGTGGAATATCATAAACGAGAGATTCAGTTGAGTCTTTCGTGAAGACAAAATTGATTTGTGAATGGGTGTATTTCTCGAGAACGGTGCAATTTGGGTCAGTTAGATCTATGGGTAAAAACGAGTTGAGCGTTCATGAAGCTGTTCAGATGTGTTGTGGAATATCATAAACGAGAGATTCAGTTGAGTCTTTCGTGAAGACAAAATTGATTTGTGAATGGGTGTATTTCTCGAGAACGGTGCAATTTGGGTTCAGTTAGATCATAAAGTTGACGGAAACTCGGGGACTGCGCCTATCTGATGAGCCCCAAGAAGGGCGAAACCGGTCGTGGGCTGTCGAAGAGTTTTCAGCAAATTTGTGAGTAGTTTCCTTTATGAAAAAAGCTTCCGTTACCATTAATTCAGTTCGATGGACACCGTGGATTCCAGCTCACTAGTTGCAATAACGGTAACTCCCGAGCTCAATTCTCGGTCTGAACCTTCCAAGTAGTGTTCTCTTTGAGAAAGCCACCAGAGGTGCACATCGTAAATGCCCGAAACCAGATCAAAAACACACGTACAGCACATGGAATTCATCCTAGAAATTCAAGACCTTCCGGGTGCGCCATCGGCAACCATCACTCGGCAAGTACTGGTCCACACCTTCAACTAGTTAGAGCTAACCCCGATGCTGGACAAGCGAGTTGTCCGATCTTCTGGTGTTTCGCATGTGGTGTAGGCCTCTTGGCTGCAGCGGAGCACAAGGGCGACCGGTAAGATTTTATTGCGATGATCCCAAAAGAACTAGTGTTTTACTTAAGGATTTTTATTCAGAGACCCAAGCAAGTTGTTTGAAGCTTTGTCAGCAAGTCGTGCGCACTAAAACATGTTGAGGCGATCGAAACGTTTTTCTGGTTTTGTGGAGTAATAACTACAAAGAGACACTTTCGATAAGCGAAGCGTCAGTGTGAAAAATTGGTGGTAACTCAGTCTGCCCGGATGAAATCATGATTGATCTTACTTAGAACGGCGAACCTCGAAAAGAGCCTACCTAATCACCACAAGTTCCGTTATCAAGCAAGACATCGACGCAACGCCCATGTATCTGTTTGATTTTGACCAACGTCTGGCAAAGTTAGACCTCTATCCGGACACCTGACGGTTATCTCTCACAGTATTTCTTTGGGCATAAATGAAATGTGACAAAAGTGATAGTCTAACATGATAATATCTAGACCTGAAAAACTCATTTACCACATTGTCGCTTTAATTTCGAACTGCTAATGTTCCGCACAACCCCAGTATAAATAGACGTAACGAGATGTGGCTGAGAGGAGCTACTCGAAAGTGAATTGAAGGGGATTAAAATTATGAGATCAACATAATTAACCCCAGAATCCAGTGTTACAGCATGATTAAGTACCTGCGGTCTTGTGGGGTGATGATTCTGTTTATTTGTACTAATTGAGCTCGCAAAAAACAGTGTGGCGAAACGAGATCAGCAATCAAGATAATGGCGGTGCAACTGGTTCAACCCCCCCCCCATAAATGCAGTACTAAGTATGAGCTATCGCTCCCGACAAGACTCGTAATAAATGAATGGGAACTACCATGCGATGCATATATCCCCTATAGCATACCTGTCCCATACACTGCAACTGACCGACCACTACTTTGTTCAGTACGCGCACTGCCTTGTCCATTCTGGATATTCAGCAACTTCTGACTACTTATGAGTAGTCACTAAGTGTCGTAAACAGTCGATGCGTGAGTTGACAAACGTTGCGACAGGAATGGATGGAGTACCTGGAGTAACACACTGCGCGGCTAATTAAAGAAAATACTAATGATCTTTGCACAAATTTTTATAAAATTAGGCGGGAAAAAGACTAGACAAGCTGAAAAGGAAAAACAATATTGCTGTGAAGCGCACCTTGATGGCGCCTCAATTAAGCACCGTCCAATGGAATAAGCGAACGAAGCCAACGATGGGGACAGGAACGAGAACGACAACGGTAAAATACAAAAAAGCTATTGTGTTCGTTCCACTAGTTGCAATTGTGCGTTGAATGGAAGACTGGAACCCCGTTATTTATTCTTGAATATGGAAACGAAGGGTCGGTGCCTGCTGCTTTCGTTGAGCCGGATAGTCATTCCGACGAGTTAGACACAGAACTGCCGTCAACGATTCCTGAAAAAAGGACACCGTTAGGAGCGTTTTTTAAACAGTGAACACAGCATCTGAAAGAGACTCGATATGAATGGAAAGACGTCAGCCTTATGGAATGATGTTGCGATGCACAGGGTGCTGATACCAATGGTACTGACGGTATTAACTGGTATTCATTACGTCGACAGAATGAATGAAGCCGAAACAAGTCAAAAGGGATGTAAATAAACAGTTAAAATGCAAAGGGACATTCAGAGTGGCTAAAGAATCAGGCCCATTGGTTCCAACTAATTCCGAAGATGCTCATGTAAACATGTTGGTTGAACGGCCGGGAAGTACGTTCACTCTCGTTAAGGTCTATGAATGGCGCAAACCAAGAAAAGAGATTTGGTTCTTCTCTAGATTGGCTCACACAAGGAAGAAGTTGCGTAAAGACAGGAAGGAGTCCAGAAATACGAGAGGTGAGACTCATGGGTGAAGTGTAGGGTAGCTAGGAGAGTAGAAGGATAACGGCAGGAAGCCACAAGAATATTCGCCCCCCCACACACACACATAAGGATTTAAAGTGAGAATCGCGAACTTGACCAAATATCTCACTGATGAGTACCAATTAGAATTTGATGCAAATAGCCAGATCACGATCATTACAATCGCCGATAAGATACTCGGACGCTTTCAGAAATCCAATCTTCCGCTCAACAAATGAAAAAATCAGTTAGTGTAGCACCCTTTCGGTGCTCAACTGCCATGTCTCCAGCAGGAAGCACGAAGGCTGGGATACTGCCAGGTTGCGCAAGCCTAGACAGGAGATGTCGAGAGATAGAGGTCGGGTTCGAACCATGGACCTTCAAGTAAGTAAATTCGCACTTTAACAACTGAGTCACCTCATTCCTGCCGTTCAACAACAAAGACCAATTATAGGGGTAGATAGCAACACATGGGCTACTTTTGTTTACATTGGAAATATAGCCCGACAGAAAGAGAAAACTGGTCGTAAGAACGTTGAGCACCAGTGAGCGGCGGTTGCGAAAATCACTACAGAACGCGTCCTTCAAGAAACTAACACCGAGGGATGTGAAAAAATGTTCGCCCACTGCGGGAAGCAGCTAAACGGGCACGAAGCAATTTGATAAGGTTAGAAATCTCTTTAATAGGTGATTAGAAATGTTTCCCCTTAGCTGAGACGACACACGAGATATCGCGGGATATTGTCTAGACAAAACACACCACTCATAAGGTTAATGAAAACTTTGCCAGTCGCCTTTTACCGTGCAGAACGAAAACGGCAATCCTCAAGAGCAACTGTTACCATATAGCTGGGATTCAGTTGAGTCTTCCGTTGAAACAGAATTAGCTCACAAATTACTTCGCGAGTTACGTCCAATTTGAGTTCAAATAGAGCATAGGGTTGACGGGAACTCGGGCACTGTTCCCACCTGAGCCCCAAGAAGGGTAAAACCGGTCGTGACCTGTCGAAGAGTTTTCCGCAACCTTATGAGTAGCGTTTTTGGCCAGTCCCCTCACTGTTTCACTTCTTATGAAGTTCAGTCCTTTTTGAACAGTTTATGTGTAAGGAGGCATGTTCTGCTGTACTGCAATTTCTCAGAACCAACACCAATTTCGGAAGCAGTTCGTGTATGTCATCCTCCGCGTGCGCTTCGGTATTTTAGCTTCCATCTGAGGGTTTCGCAGGTTCTGTAGAGCTAGCGTCTGCATTAACGTTGGCCCGTCAGAAAGCCATCTACTCATCTGCATGACGACAAGGTCCGAGATGACAATGACCCCTGCTGAATAGGAACTTAGTTTCGAAAGGCGTCTAGAGTACAGTTTTACGAATTAATTGATTCGTGCAAGAAGGGGAGGTAATTGAGGTTGAAGACGCCAGTTCAATTTCCCGGGATGAATAGGTGGTTGAGCGGCAAGTACTCGGAACACACATATCCATTTCTAGAGCGAATTCCCAATCGTCCTCTTAGTAGCTTCATATTGTAAACCCAGATTGGCTGTGGTCACGCTATTGCAGGACTTCGGTTTCGCGTGATCACCTGCAATAAGATAAGACGGTAATCGCTTCAAGATGGTGCTGTAAAGACAGTGATAATGACATTCTCTTTACCAGCTGTTTCGCGCCTACAAAACGTTCTCCCTTGCTTATAACCCTTTAGTAGACTGTTCACGAGAAAATAAGCCAGAGTCATCGAGACCGAATATGTCAGCTGGTTATCAAGTGGCCAGAATTCGATTGGGGTACTTTGCAGATTCCCCACCACAGATTCATAAAATTGATGCTAAGCTGCTGTTGCAATCTGTGCAGCCACTTGGTGTTGATCTGATTTGCTTTGCCAGCAAATTGGTCCACTTTCCGTACCAGACTGCTAGGCATTGCTAGGCTCCAAAAAAACCAAGCCTAAGTGGCTTGGATGATTGGCTGGATACACACGAGTGAGTACTTAAAACTTAACTGCAACTAGCAGCTCCTTCATTCCAGCTCCGTTCAGTAAGAGCCCTTGAATCGAGTGTGGAACGAATTTGTCTTTCTAGTACGATGGTACTCGGTGACTATCCTTTTTCATCTGTTCGATCACCATCACGACCTCAAGAAACAAAAATATCGTTTGAGGAATTTCGATAGATTAATTGTCAAACGGCCCGATAAGAGATTTTATTCTACACAATTTATACACGAGCTTTGCTCTTGATCTGTCTAACACTGGTGAATTAGACAGGTTAGCCCATCGCCATCTTTTTGTCATCACCCATAAAATAGTTCATCAGCTCCTTGATCCTGTGTTAACACGACCGAAAAGAGAGAAATGACGTCACGTATCGTTTGTTTGGTCTTGGGAACCACATCATAGCCTCTCCTGGTCCATTGAATTGGTTAGTTAGATCTAGGTCAGTCGTGTATCTTATATTGAGAACCTGATCACCACCAGCCACCTCGACTGGTGTACCAGATGCGATAGCCGCGCCGATCCCCACGGCCTCACATGAGATCATAGTTGGACGTTGGTTCTGTCGTGGCAACCAAGGTACTAGGTTAGTCGTACCAAGCCGCAATCAGTCGGCTGTGCTTCAATGGTGTAACGCATATGTTGACAAAGGCACAGCGTGAAATTATAAGCCGAATTCAGTTCGCTCAGTACACCCATGGTGTGGTCATTCATTCATTCCCCTCCCTGGGCCGACTAGGAATGCTAACGGTGTTCTGACCGACGTCATCACATGTGATTCGTCCATTGTTTGCGCGGCCACCATACACGGACATAGTATAGTCCCCTGGTTTAGTGGACGCGTTAGGAACAGCTACATGTTGTCTTGGCAACCGTGTCCATCTCACTGACAAACAAGTCCACCAAACGATCTGAAGGATTTCAAATGACTAGCTGATGACTCCAAAGTTGTTAAGGTCAACCCACTGCTAAGGTCATCCCTCTAAGTACTACCAGGTTATCCAGAATTGGTTGTCGGTCATCGAGCCCCATATCGTCCGGTGATGGAGAAGATTACCCTACTTTGTTCAATTCAAGTGACTGACCGTGCAATGGCAGTGAATGAATTTCGAGGATGACATATGAGCATGAATGAGAAAACACAATGAGGCTCACTTAAAGGTCATCATAGGCTGGAGGAGGGATGCTTGAGTCACAGTTCACAGGACTTTGGGCGGCACGCGGTTGCTCCTCATTCGATTCCACTAGGGTTAACGGATCTTCAACCACGACTACGAGGGATGCGGGACGTCTGCGGCCATGCTCGTCCCGCGGACGTTTGATCTTTGAAGGTAACTTGGATTTCTTTCCTGGTGCGACATGCTGACTAGAGTTTGCTTGTCCGCGGCGGCCACCCGAATCTGGATCAAGCATGCTCATGGGTCGTGGCACAGAACTTCGACTTGCGCACGGCCTATTGCTGAAACATAGAAAAGGTGTTATGCAGTAGGCTGATAGGCAATGTAAGTAACAATATTAATGCTGATGGTGGTCGGAGCAACTATCTGATGCAGCTGGCTACTGCAAAAAATACTGTAAGTGGATGATGCTTAGGAAAGAAAAATTGAGAAACGGCAGGATTTCGTGGTTGGGCGATGTTGAGCTCCGCGAAGTCAATAAAAGCGGAACTGAGAGACCTCTGATGATCTCTCATGCGCAGGATAGACCGCCTTGTTCGACGCAAATGAGCAAGTTCAGATGTACTGAGTGAGTAGCTCCCCGAACAAGACGGAAATTCATGTGACTTCTCCTCCTCTTCGAAGATGAGAACGATGTCGTCTGCGTACTCCAGATAGACAAGGTTTTCGTCACAGGCTATTTGAACACCAGGGTTATGGAGACCTTCCAGAATTCGTCTCATTATCTCACCGATCACGAATTTAGATAAGAATGGAGGGAGTGTGCACCCCTGACGGACGCCGCTTTGTACACGGGGGCTTTCGGAGAGCGCACCGGATATTCTTGCAGGTCCGGAAGTCTGAGAATACAAAGAACTTATTATGATCGCAAAATTCCGGGGCAATCCGTGATGGGCAAACTTATTAAGGAGAACAGACCGGTCAACCGAGTCAAATGCGACTTGGAAATCCAAGATTACTAAACTTGTGGGTCACTTATACGTATGGCGTTCTTCTAGCACCCGACGAAGTGTGAAGATTCGGCCAATGCAACCCCGACCAGACCGGAATCCCGCTTTCTGCTGTCGAGTCAGTGTTTCACGAGCCACCGTAGGTCGACGAAACACCGGTGCGATCAACGGTCTCGTTACTCCCGGGGTCAAGCTGATCTCCCTGGAGTTACCACACTAACTACGAGCCCTCTTTTTGGAAATGGGCACCATCGCCGACTCTCCCCAGGTGTTCGAAATAGACTCCTTTTCCCAAACACAAGCTAACAAAACAAAAAAGTGCTGACTGAAGATATCAGCCGTCTTTAACAATGCGGGTGGAAAGTAATCCGGACCAGAAACTCGGTGGCGCTTGAGAGGACATGCGCAGTCACAAACCTCCGAGGCCGTAGGAGGTTCCCCATTCACCGCCGTGATCCTAGACGGCACCAGCCAGAATGGTTTGTTTGTTGGGCTGCAGATATGGGCCTGTAAAACAAGATCCCTCGGGATAAGGATGACGTAGAGATTAGCATACTCTCTATAGACAGGACGTTCTCCCACGTCCATAAGCCCGAGTTCCGAAAGGACTATCGAATAGGGAGAAGTGTGTGTGTAATGCTACAAAAAACCTACGTAATGGGCAAGCTCTATGCGGGGAGATCGGAAATCGGCTTCAACAGAGAATTCGCATATACTGTGCCGTAATTGGTCCCATATCGATGCACGTGCATAAGACATGACCCCTTCAACTTGAGGACCTACATAGGATTGAGGCAGTCGATCACTGCTTTCTATGACCTATTACCAAGGTGCAATGGACAGACGTATAGTCGAAAGACTACGTAAGCGGACGCTACTTCGACACTCCAAACACCTCAGTTTAAACGCGTTCTGCGTAGAACAGATAGTGGAGTGGCCAACCTTTCACCGTCATTAGCGTCTTAGACAGGATGGTACTGCCGTCTTGGATGGGAACTGCCTGATCCTGTGCATGCAGTTGGCTGATAAGTGTCATTCGTGAGGAGCGAAAACATGCGACATCATTGGAGCTTGCTCATAAAGCCGCAGAGAATCAATAAAAAAACGAATTTTTATAAGAAGCGCTTAATGCCAGTCAGAGAGACAACTTCTCAGTTGATGCGCCTTGACCACAATAATGCAAACCAGATGCAAGAACTATTGTTCTCAGATTCAGTTTGCTCACCAGTGGTATTCAATAGAAGCAAAACCGGTTAAGCGTAACTGCGGCATGGCAGTAAACGTACACGTTTCCAAGTACACATTACCAAAAAACGACGCTCTGATGGATTATACACATGAGATTGAAAAAAAAACTTCCTGTTTCCGTCGAAAAAATGGGGATGAAAGGGATGGAGAAAACTAGTCGCCGAACATCAGTTGACATTCACCACACCAACGGGTTCTCCCCGACAAAATACTATTTACGAAGCTAATAGAAACACTTCGCCAACCCGTACGAGTTCCGTCCTCTTCAAGCCCATCCGGTAGGAGTAGTCCAGCTGCAACACCCTTGAGTGCCTAGCTGTCTTGCAAGGGAATCATGAGGGCTGCGATACTGCCAGGTTTCCCAAGCCTATGGAAGAGTAGTTGGAGTTGGTAATGGTTGTTCAACTGCGGCAACCCTTCGCTGCCTGGTTGCCATGCCACCCGAAGGAAGCACGAGGGCTGGGATACTGCCAGTTTGTCCAAGACTAGACAAGGAGAGTCGAGATGCGCAGGTCGGGTTCGAGTCAAGCACCTTCCAGTCAGTAAATTCGTGCTTTAACCATTGTGCCCTGAGCCACAGACCTTGCACCTTAACCACTGAGTCATCTCATGCTCAATGGAACAGTAACCGAATTTTTGTTAACTATATTCCACACCCGAACACCAAACGAATATACACCAAATTGAACAATAACTTGCAAGGTAAGGCAGTACTGAGATGAAGTCCAACTCATTCTCTCGTTTATGGGGATGGAACCGGCAACGGTCTGTTGAGCAGTCTTGTACTCATGAGGGAAAAACTTACCTCGGTTTTTCACTATTTCTCCTGTTCCTGTCCACCTGATTATCAGTGCTTGTTGAAGCGGCCGGTTGCGACAAATCTAGCAGAGCGAACGGGATCAATTCGATGTCACCTCTTTCACCATTCGGTTTTCGACTGCTGCTGATTGCACAGTTGATCGGAGTTGGTCTGGCATTGGGTGGCGGAAAATCCATCGGATCGAGAAACGGTGCACTGGGAACCACACGCCGTGATTCTGTTGCTATTGAGGATGACGGGTTGAAAGGTAGAGATTTTGAGCGGGGGGTTCGGCGCCCTCGTTTTCCATTGCGATCAGCTGGACGAGCGCGACGGGGCCAGGCCCAAGGAGATGGCATGTGGAATGATGGAGGTGGATAGGGAGCACTCCAGTCTCTTGGGGGGTGAGATGGTGTCTGGACGGGAGATCGTGTGTGCCGCACCGGGATGGAGTAGTATCGCGACGGAGGGGTACTGACGGCGCAAAGCTTGGCAAACACGATCAGAGCAATGATTAGGCTCACGCATATCAAGATAACAGCCCACCAATGCATCTACGAAGAGAGAAATGTAACACAGAGAAGAGTCAGATTGGTAAGCGGAAAAAAATCCTGGGTTAAATGATGATATTCGACTGCTGATTGCACAGTTGATCGGAGTTGGTCTGGCATTGGGTGGCGGAAAATCCATCGGATCGAGAAACGGTGCACTGGGAACCACACGCCGTGATTCTGTTGCTATTGAGGATGACGGGTTGAAAGGTAGAGATTTTGAGCGGGGGGTTCGGCGCCCTCGTTTTCCATTGCGATCAGCTGGACGAGCGCGACGGGGCCAGGCCCAAGGAGATGGCATGTGGAATGATGGAGGTGGATAGGGAGCACTCCAGTCTCTTGGGGGGTGAGATGGTGTCTGGACGGGAGATCGTGTGTGCCGCACCGGGATGGAGTAGTATCGCGACGGAGGGGTACTGACGGCGCAAAGCTTGGCAAACACGATCAGAGCAATGATTAGGCTCACGCATATCAAGATAACAGCCCACCAATGCATCTACGAAGAGAGAAATGTAACACAGAGAAGAGTCAGATTGGTAAGCGGAAAAAAATCCTGGGTTAAATGATTGCTGATATTCGACTTAGCAGCGTTTCGAAGTTGATTTGAACAGAAGCTGGCTCAGACATCAGTTATTCTCAAAAAGGGAAGGAGGACAGGTGTAGTAATTGATTGCGTTCACAAGCATGGCCTGACCTCCTTACAACATTATCTTTATTTCTGCACTAGGTCATTCAACGGCATCCCTAAACACAGTATTCTTGGACTTTAGGGAAGAAATCCACAGTTTACACACTCGGAGCTACAACTATATGCTATAAAATAGTGAGGGACTAAGCCACGCACTTGTCGTACAGCAGTTAGCTGCAAGTTTAACCTTCATCCTATCGTGGTCCGTTAGCTTCCGAGTTCATCCAACGGGCTTGTATTTCATTGTGATCACCTATGTTTGAGCGTAAAAGTGACAAAATAGTGAGACACCGTTTTGATTGGTTTATTGTTTTATTCCATAAGACCAGACCCAAATTGCATCATCATTAGCGTGAGAAATAGTATCAACTAACCTAACAATCAGAATGATCTAAACGCGGGCGTGCAACTATGCTAACGGATTAGAAGACTGAGAGTGCATATGAGGGTGAATGCCTGTTTGCCAACCATGAACTCAAGGTCATTTACCCTAGAGCTTCCATCAGAGTCCAAAAAATGTGATGAAAGTACACAGTCGCATCCTAAATTAACAACGTAGGACAAACACTGTAAGCGTCTGATTCGATTGATCTTATGAGCGTCGCTGAAGTTAAGCGGGATGACTAGGTTCTGAACATATACGGGTTGGGACATTCATCGGGAAATCACAGTCGACCGGATTGCATTCTCAAGTATCACATGTGTCATACATCCACAAACATATTCAAAAGAGAGATCGCGATGATGTTGGCTAATTTATCCTTGCTCGTATTCACACTTCCTGCCACACACGTTGGCGTTACTCACATCGTGTGTGTAAGCGTACGCGGTCATAAGGTGATCCAACGTATCGACTGGTTCCACGGACTGATTCACTGCCCCACCAGACGCTTATGTGTGCTGGCAAGCCAGAAACAGTGAGTTTGGTGCTCGTCCGAAGACTGTCTCTTTGTTTACAGTACGTGTATTCGGGTCCATATTCAGGTATATCCGAATCCATCTATCTCTTACACCAATCCAAAGACATTTGGGTTCCTAAGCGATGCCAACGTTTGGCTCACTGTGGAAGCCACATGAGGCGTTCACTGATAGACATCAACCGTTAATTCACTCAGTGGAGGCGTGTTGAGTCAACTTGGGCTAAATATGTACACGTGCGGAGTCGGATAGCGCCCGGGGTAAGCGAGATGCTCTCTAGAGTAACCGTACCAAATTAAGCACGAATGTAACCAAGTGGTTTGAGCGTTGTGTGGACCATACTGATTGCTGTAGAAGTTGGAAAAGCATTTTTGAGCGGAGTTCTTTATTATTCGGACAACCTTAAGCAAAATAATAAAAATCTCACAGATGGGAAGACACGTGCCGCTTGTGTTACCACTGAAACAATCGACATTCTACACGCTACTCTGATTGGTCAGGTTCATGTTTAGACGTGAAGTTGGTGACGTTGAGGGAACTACGTGCGCATGTTTTCTAAATGTTCATCAGTCGTCCAACTGACAGAGAGTTGATGGTTATCACTTAGGCTTATTGAAGATGAGAAGTTGGAAATTCCGCAGTAATTTGACCTGATCAAAGAGTGACGTGTGGCTATCTATCAGGGCGTGAAAGGCAACTGCTGCGCGTTTCTAAAGTTTATGGAGCTGAATGGTACTCTGCAATTCGTATGTCTAGTTGTCTGTTCGTTTTGCCTATATACCTGGCTTCACAATCCCCGTGCCATATTTCATACACCCAATATTTTCATTTACTGTACATTGGTCCACAATCAAGGTATTCACCAAACTTGTGTCCTTAGTTTCATGCCGATCCTATGACAAACAGTCCATTTTCACCCATGTACGGAGTGTAACAATCATCCGTCAAACTTTACTGTAAAGTTCTGCTTCGGTCACCGCATTCGTGCCAGTTGCTGACCTTAGAAGCAGTCACATCAAGGGTTGGAGCTCGGCCCTACTCCAGCTAAGTTATATCAAAGGTGTTAGACCATTCGCACTCTGGTTCCAGCTGCCACGAGCGACGAAAGTGGAACTAGAGCGCCATGACGACGGTTTCAAGTACCATCACCCACACAGGATAGCTGGTAGTGAACTGTACCAAAACTGTGTCCAAAACACACAAACGCTGTCAGGCAAAAGCAAAATCGATTTGAACGTGAGAATGAAATATGCATTGTGTTTTGCAGCAAACTAGTCTGGAAAGTGTATGAAAACGTTTGAGGTTGAGGTCACATGTATCACACAGACAAAAGCGTGTGACAAATTGGTGCTAATGGTGGGATGCAAATTCAACGTGAATCGAAATGACATTTTTGGAAGTCCCGACCACAGAAAGAGTCTATGGTAAAGTAAACTGGTGCAGGACACAACAGCTCTACATTGGTGCTTCCAAGAGCGGATGCTTCGAAAAAGAGAATTCCAATTGTGAAGAATATGACATCTGAGAATGGCAACAAAGAGGAGCCACCCACGATAACCGGAAATATTTATCAAGGAAACTTTCCTAAGCGATTGTCATAGGTGAAAAGCTTGACCTCATATGTATGTATTCGCATCGCTCTCCTTTCAACATCCTCATCCTTTTCGCGAAACCACTATTCTGGAAATTTCACACTCGAGTTCAGCTCCCTCTCTCCCCACCGCTCATCCGCTGAGGATAAGGCGGAGGTGTTCGCTCTCCACTGATGCAACTCTCTGGCCTGACGAACTCCAACCATGCTCAGAAAAAGTTCACTCACACTCCTCCGACGCGTCCAGCATGTACTGACGACGTAGTGACAACACGATCCGCTGACGTGTCAGGTATCTGGCATTCACATCCGGGCACTGTGATGCCGATTTGAAATAAGTGTTGAGAATACGAATTTAACAAGTACAGTAACTATCCACAACAAAAATATGATTTCTTGTCTTGTAGAATCCAGTCAGTGTGCAGCTATGACTATAAACGGAATTGTCCTGCCTGTCAAGCTGATCTACATCTCATGCGATTTTTATGCGATCGCCAGGTCGTCTGCAGCCGGAAGTTAGCCAAACCCTTCTGGCTATGGACTTAACACTAAGTCTTAGACGACTGGATCATCCGCAATCAATACCCCGACTAATCATCAGACACTGTAGTGAACATGTACAACGGAAAGTAGTATGACCGAGGGTTCCCCTGTAAAAGACAGACGTGAGGACAGGCGGGTCGAAAAAGGAGCTATTGCACCATTTCAATGCACAATGGCCCTGCAGCACGGGAAAGGCATTAAGAACGAAATCCTGCCAGGCTGTCCAAACATAGAAAGGAGCGATCGACAGTCCAGAGTTTGGATTAAATCAAACACCACCCGGTCAGTAGATTCGCACATCTATTAATGAGATAATTTGAGCACAAAACACAAGCGCCAGTGGCACGGAATCGAACCAGCGATCCCTCTCTTGGTCAGGCTATCGAACATGACACGCCAAATCGACAGATTCTGTCAGGGCGCGCCCAGACAGAAGAAAAAGTACATGTGCAGAGAGTGACGCATCCCCAAGGTCACCATAGGTTCGACACGTCCGGAAAGTAGGTGAGTTGGCGGCTCTCACCAAACGGCTTAGCAACACACGACCAGCGTAGTGGGCCTGAGAATGTTCACGACCGGAACAACACCATTCGCTGTACGGAGCGAACAAGTGAACGAGCATATTTGGCCAATTAGTCATCCTATATATTTACGCAGACGCTCTGTAGGTTTTGTCCTGGCAATACAGCCATGTCAGCAGGTCTCTGTCTTCTCCCTATCACGTAGTCTGGCAGGCGCAGTGCAGGCGTAACCCATAGCTCGGCCACCGCACAATACAACAGATTCCCAATATTATCCTCCTGGTTCCTTGAACAAGTGAAGTTACCCTGGTTACGAAAGAATCTTCCAGCGATGGAACTATTTCTTCCGGTTTGGATTTCTTACCGAACATCATTTATGCGGAACGCTTGAATAGTGCGTGAGACGGGTTGTTTTTGTTCCCTAGATTCTCCGAACGCAACCAGTGTGAAATGAATCCAGCATAACAACGTTACGGTCAGTTATACATGACAATAGCTTTCTAATGTATGGTTGACCTCGTTCATTAACAACCACTGGGTAAAGAGGACAAATGATGTAGACTTGTCAGTCTGTGGGGGGAGGAGGCAGAAAAACCGTTCAGCAGTAGCACCCTATCGGGGCCTTGCTGCCATGCCACCCGAAGAAAGCACGAGGGCGGGGATACTGCCAGGTTGCTCAAGCCTAGATAGGGGAAGTCGGGACGCAGGGGTCGGGTTCAAACCGCGGACCTTCCGGTCAGTAAATTCGAGTTCTAACCACTTGGTTCGGGAGCAAGTTCCGAATGAAACTAAGAACCACCCAAAACTGGACATACATGCTTACAGAAACTCGTTTTTCGTCGAAACCAGTCTAATAAAGACGAATACAACAGTATATAATCTCTAATTGACATCAATTACCGTTTGGCAACAGTATTATTGGAAAATGCCCTTCTACACACAAAGAAGACAGGTATCTCTTATGGGGAGGGTGCCGTTAGACGGGGGAATCATGTACTCACTGTAATCCAGGATTTCACCTGTTCCAGGACCTGCGGACTGAACAGCAAGTTCCGCAAACGTGCCAAAGGACCTTCGGCTTCGACTGAACGACAGCGGTGGAAAACATCACAATAACCTCGGTAATTATCACACGGAGCACCTGGTTTCAACTTGGTTCCCCGTCCGTCACGCAGCAGTTCGTTCACCAGTTGTGGATATTTGTCGCGCAGATTGGAGTCCTATGGCGAGGAGACACGGAGGTATGATTGAAAGAGCACAACAGCATGCAGAATATCTCAGAGCGCACATTTCGGTACAAATCATGAAGAGCTTGCTGTGTGGCAACAAATTGGCTTTGCTGCTATCGATCAAGCAAGTTACCAGTGGGTGGTTTTAGGCAAGAACGTCTTTTTCAAGGTTTTTCTGTTAATTGTTACGTGAGCCCAATTCCTCACGGTTACCTAACAAAAATTAGAGCTAAAAGTCACCGCGTCACACTTGACCAGGACAGATCACCCAAGGCGGTATTCTTTCTTCGTTTTTTTAACTTCGCCCATTGCTTAGCTGTCCCCGGTTCTTTCTACTGGCGAAAAGAAAGGTGCCAGAAACTACTCGCACGTCTCATCAGTAATATTGGCCGTTGTGCTGGTACAAGTACGGTGATAACCTTGCGATTGGTTATTGCAGTTCAGAAGCCCACGCTAAATGATTATTCGGATTTCACAAAGTGATTAGGTAGTCCAAAGAGTCTCCAATTTAGTTACTGTTTCCAAACGCCAAGCGCATAGTTGCTCACGCATTTCGGTTAGTGGATATTGGTGACTGCTTGATATTGCCCGCGGTGGATCGCTCAGCTGCAGCAACCTTTCGGTGCCTAACTGCCATGCCACCCGAAGGAAGCACGAGGGCTGGGATACTTGCCCAAGCCAAGACAGGGGAAGTCGGGTTCGGGCGGAGGTCGGGTTCGAACCGCGGACCTTCCGGACAGTGAATTCGCGCTCTAACCACTTGGGCCATTTCGCCCGCGATGGATAACATTTGTCTTCAAAAGCATACCGACAGGAACTACACAAGCTGGTCAACTCCAGTTTACACGTCTTTTCCGAACACGAGTCCTCAGACTGAGGAGCCATTTGACACCCTGAAGTTTCCCCAAATTCGTCAAACAGCAGTGCCTTTCTAGGACATTTTTGTTTCCCACTCACGTTCCCCTGTTTATTTGAGATTCCTGTTCCAAAGTAAGGTGATTAAAACACGTATCCAAGTGTCATGTAATTTCAGGGAGTTCGGTGGTCAACATATGTGTTAACGCTTGCCAGTTGGTCAATACCTGCCTTTCACCCTACGACTTCCTGTACATGGTCCACGTGTGAGGACTACCAGTAGCTAGTAAGCCCATATTCTGTGCGACTAATCGTTTAATTCAAGCCTTGCATTTTTCAAACTTCAACACCAACTGTTCGTTTCCACTATCAGTTCGTATAGTGAAAATTAACCTCCAGTCGATCGTTTTTGCTGGTGTTCCGGGGTCTTTTGAAAAATGAAACTTTGCAAATTCCGAGAGGGATGAACAACAAGTGTAGTGGGCATTCCCCATAATTAGCAGGAAGAATTTGAACGTGTAAGCTTGAAATCGATTCAAATCGATAATCGACAGATGCGCTGAAGAACAATAGGACATAATTTGTCGGAGAAATAAAATGTCTCAACATTAAAAAAAATATAATTTAGTGATGGGCGATTGTTATTCAGTTGAGTGCGTATTACTTCAGCTGGACCAACGAGGCTGGGCTAATACGGCTTTATCAACTGGATGGACAGAAAAAGAATTTGGAATGTCCCTGGCCAAAATCACGACAGCAGAGGACAAAAATTAGTGTGATTGCCAAATCTTTTTGTTGAATGGTTTATATGATCCTATTACGATGGGCTGACATCCAATGGACTGTCAACAGCGGCTAGACCTGCGCATAGTCAGAGTGATAAAAACCATTTGCGTTATCTGTTGGCAGAATAAATCACGTTATGTGGGGAAATGAATAGACCGATAAGTGAAGCACACTAAAATCAATGGGCTAAGGAAGCAGAACAATAATTAAAAACGTCTTTTCGAATCTAAATGTATGATAAGTGTCCAAGTAGAGGAGTAAACATGTTTATGGAGATGAAAATGGTTGCGAACCATTGAAGCGAGTGGTTTTCTCGACTTTTAAAGGCGGATGTTTTGTTGCTTCTTATAAGTCCAATGGTTTGAAGGGTCCCAGGAGAAGACGACCGTAAGGCCTTCGGATCAATACTCGGATGCAGAAGACGCCAAATTAGCTTGGCGTCAGTTAAGATTCATTTGGTTGAACACACGGGCCGAAAGGAATCCAAGAGAGCTAAAGCTGTGTAAACACGTTAGTTGGGGATTGCGTATGTGACTGCGTTTATCTGCCTGTTTGTGATCCTTCGATTCAATGAGTTTGTGTTGGTATAAAGTCCCGGAGATTGTGAATAATCCAGGAGAAAAAACTGGAAGCTTGAAAACAAACCTCTTAATAAGTCAGTAAAGTCGGAGATGAGTGGCACAAGTTAAGCGGCCAAGCATAGCCTCCCCGAACTGCACTTGAACGGACTCCAAAAGACCTGTCCTTCTCGGTCATCTGGGCTTTAGCAGAATGGATATGTCATCAACTGCTTGTTTCGAGATCGATGGAACGTGAAGCCATCTTGTTTGGTGACCCCGGACAAACACGGTTGCACACAGACGGATCGAGGAGTGCGCCGGGCATCCTGGACAGTTAGTCTTGGTAGAAACAGTGTATGAATTGTAAATCAACTATCGGTTACTGTGGGGTTACAAAGTACCGCACTTTTCCATGCTGCCTTGTGGATCGGATTTTTTCTTTCAGACGAAGATAGAGGCTTCCCAAATCAACCCCTTCATCAGTCTGCCTAGCTGGAGAATGAACTACATAGCTTAATTTCTCAGATTCGATGCTGGTCTATTCTCCTAGAACAAATTTCCTCCGCACGACCTCCACCATAAGTAGTAATACTGTTGCTCAGCTGCCTTATTTGTTTTTTGACACTAACCTCAACCCCACCACTAATTTATGTGCGCACCTATCGAAGACGGTTCTAAAGGACTAACGCTCTGATCCAGAACGTCATTTAGAACTGATCCGGTTCACTCAGTTTAGCTACTCATGATGTCAGGCCTCTAGTACAGATGGATCGACAAGCTGTACTATCCAAGCTTGGAAGGTCTAAGCACTGAAGTGTGCTGCGTTTCGGAGGCCAGACTTTAGCATCGGAACATATTGCTTACTCTAGGTCCACCAGATGACGTAACTCAACGCACCTACAAATGACGTCTGGAAAGGCTCAGTCATCTGGACAAGCGAATATCACCACTGCATGGAACTTCTCTGACTGGATCCTCAGACCAGAGGACGTATTCAGAGTTCCAGGTACGTTACTGGAGCGAAGCTACTTGTCCAACGTTTCCTTTTACGTCCCAACTGAAATCCGACGGGTCTAGTATAGATAGTCAATGTTGTCTCTGAGGCTCATACGCACTCAAATACAATTCGGGTTCCCAACCGTGCGCCTATTCCTTGCGGTTGTGCAAACTTTGTACGCTGACGTGTCTATTTTAATCTTATGTGTCATTCGATATTCAACCGAACCAATGGGTGGGACTAGTTCAATCATAATAGTCTTCAAGCCTATCTGCCCGTATCACGTGATCAAGAGCGCACCGTAATTCGCCAGTAAAGAGGACAATCAAATACCATCAGTGTAGCAGTTATTGTTACCGGAACAATCCATCGCGTTTGACCTTGGTCACGCATTGACTTAATTTTTCAACACAACGGGTGGAGCAAAACCCGACGCGGAGGCGGCACTATGAAAACCTGACGGGACTAGTCACTCACACCGATATGTACGAGAAACTTCGGTCCACGTAACACGTCATTCACCAGACAGCCATCTGAAAGACTGGCCGCAGTGTTTAGGTTATATCGGTACACGCGGTGCAATGGATGGGGTTGCACAGACCATGGAATGTTGCTGCTGCATGTATTTTAAATGCAATATGCTTGCACACATTTTCTAGCCCCTTTTAGGTGGCGACTAAACCTGGTAAGACTTTGGTCTTTGTTCTGCGAAGAACGAAAGCTTTGATTGGTGGATGGGTTTAACCCGATAAATGAGATGAAAGATTTTCATGAAGGGATCTACTCACAAGGTTGCTGAAAACTCTTCGACAGCCCACGACCGGTTTCGCTCTTCTTGGGGCTCATCAGGTAGGCGCAGTCCCCGAGTTTCCGTCAACCTTACGTTCTACTTGAACCCAGACACATCCAAATATACTGCGATATTTCGAACATCGCACCAACTGAAACATGAGGCTGCCTGTGTACAACACATTCAGTTGTAGAATATCATAAACGAGATATTCAGTTGAGTCTCTGGTGAAAACAAAATTGATTTGCAAATGAGTGTATTTCTCGAAAACGGTCCAACTTGGGTTCAAGTAGAACACAAGGTTGACGGAAACTCGGGGACTGCGCCTACCTGATGAGCCCCAAAAAGGGCTAAACCGGTGGTGGGCTGTCGACGGATTTTCAGCAACCCTGTGAGTAGTTTCCTTTATGAAAATATAATGCGATATCTCGAATATCGTGCCAACTGAAACGTGAGAAGGCCTGTGTGCAGCACATACAGTTGTAGAATATCATAAACGGGATTAAAGGTTATTTGAAGAAAATTCAGTGGAAGCTGGTAATCGAACGCGACAAGAAAAAATTGCTTCAGAAATTGCTAAAAACTTCTATTTCGGCTAGTCTAAAATGATAGAATGCATGGATTTTCTTCTGCGTAGAAACCAGATTTAAAACTGTCAAAAGTGAGAACAAACGACCCGAAAGAAAGCATATACAACGAATGAGGGAATCAGGCGATGTACGTGCTTTATCGCATGGTCCAGATAGATTTATCACAATGGGCCACCTCGTGAGCACCCGACTCGACGTAGAAGATTTCAATCAACGAGTCCTTGTTGTGGGCTTTCACAGACAAAGTGCTGCCAAAACCGACAGCACCTTCACTTCACGGAAAAGAAAGCCAATCAACGGGGCATGCAAGTTTGAAAGTTCCAGTTTCTTTTCATTTCCCGCTGTAAGCCTGTACTTCTGAAACGAACTGTGCACAGATTGTTGCTAGGACGATAGTCCGTAGCGACTCTGAAGATGCCTGTGTGGGGTTCGAATCCGATTCATACAACTGAGCTGATAAGATAGAATCAGGGCACTTGCGCCACCAACAGAATATGAAAGTAGGGCACTGAGACGAAAAAACAGTGTGTATTAGATGTACGATTTATTGTGGCTTGTTATAACAGGTTGACACAGGAACAGTCATCTAATCGTTCAGCTTTAGCACCCTTTCGGTGCCTAGCTGCCATGCCACACGAGGGAAGCGTGAGGGTCGGGATACTGCCAGGTTGCCCAAACCTAGACAGAGGAAGTCGAGAGGCAGAGGGCGGGTTCGAACGACGGACCTTCCGGTGAATAAATTCGCGCTATAACCACTTGGTCCGTCTCGCCCCTAACCAGTTGGTCTATCTAACTAAAATGCGCTATAACCACTTGGTCCGTCTCGCCCCTAGCCAGTTGGTCTATCTAACTATCTAACACACGACTGACATAGTTAGCCTAAGGATCGCAGATCACAGGCTCACCACGTTGCGTTGGACTGTTGTACACTGTTCCCACCTTCATTTTCCGAATTTCGACCACTTCTACATCGCTCATCCGGTCAATAACAGATGATGGGCTAACTGACAAGCGTACGATTCGATGTTGAGAAGGATCTCAGTCAGCACAACATTGCTCCTCTCCACAGAGGTAATCCTGTGCACAGTGTATGGTGGAACTGAACGCGTGTTCGTATCCAGTGCTTGATATTTTACCAATCTATATGACTGACAAGTAGCCCTTCGCACCGATGGGCTTAACTGAAGTCCACTAGGAGCATGTGCGAAACAAAGGAAATCAGCCTGTGTACAAAAGCAGGCCTACTCGTATCGCTAATCCGCCCACCAGCAGCACGCTGTATTGGGACGTGAACGTTTCACGCAGAAGGTACCTGTAAACCGCACGTTTAACAGAACTCGCTGGAGGGTCCAATAACTCAACTACCTGTCTCAGAAAGCCATTTTAATATTAAGAGACCCACCTGTCACGGAGCTTTCTAAAGCTGTATCAGCCTCCATATTTAGTCTGACTGATTCGGTCGTGCTCAGAAGCGATTCAGGATTAACTGAAAACTAAATCTAATGCGGAGCTGGAGGCAGAACACCATCTGCTGTCATCGAGAACCTGTTCTAGATACCAGTAATGTGAAATACCAATAATGCATTCCCATCATATCAGACAAGTGCCGCAAAATAAGAGTTCCGGGGGGAGGTTGACCAATAAGATGAGCTGCCGCGCATGGAAGGAAATGTGTCCTACTTTGGACGTCTCTCCTGGGTCATCTTACACGAGGTTGTGGCTGGTGGAAATCGTCGTAATAGGATACCTGGAAGAGTGGACTCTCTTAAAAGTCTCTAAAAAAATGAGACCGTGATTCAAAGCGGGTGAGTTGTTTGAAGTCCTAACGGATAGGATAGTAATGTTAACAAAGAGGTCGACCTTCTTGACTGTACTGCGCAGAAGCTATGCGGATGATGGCATAACTATGCAGCAATAAAAGAAGCAAACCTTCACTATGGTGGTAAAAACTTAGGTTGATCAATGACAGTGACAATGGGTTCGAACACTAATGCGTCATTACAGTCAGCAATAAGCTATTTGGGGGAGGTTCAAGAAAGGAAGTGCAACAATTCATAGTCTGCAGACAGTTATTACTAGATAGAATCTTAGATAAAGAGACACCTCCAAACACGTTGAAGCGCGTAGATGAACAAAGAGCTCGAATCGCCCATGATTAGCAGAATTCAACGGACCCGACAACAAAATGAGCTCTGACTGGCCGATAAACGAAGCCAGCAGCTAATCCCAAACATACTGTTGGTTAATATTACAATTTATTATCATTAGCACTTGTGAGAAGAAAGCCCTTCGCCGCGGAGTTGTTTATTAGCAAACACCGACTACACAGTTACAAGCTATTGGACAGGAAAGTAAACCTCTCATATGAACCTAATTTTTTTAAACTGAACGTCCTCTGGCGTTTTATTGAACCTTCGTGGATATTCATTGACTCTCCCGCAATTGTAAACCATAGCCGCAAAGCAGCTTCACAAGTTCCGTAATAAACCCCACTTTCCATTAGACACGAGGCTGTTAAGAGAAAACCACACTACTCGCATGTCCCACCAGTAGTATCCGCTGTTACACTAGTAGTAGTATTTAATTTCAGTGATCAATAGGTGCCATTGCCGATGGCACGTCCGGAGAACGCTGTCGCTGAATTCCATCCTAAATATACGATTCCCAACTGATTTTGATTGTGAATGAGGTTAGCGTAACTTTGGTGGTTGTTATGCTTGGAACGGGAGGACCAAGCTGAAGCATTTTTGACAAGGACAAAAGTCCAGCGACAGCAGATGACATTACACAAACCGACAGTCAAGTGTGTTAAGGAAAGGGATATCGCGAAGTGTCGGAAACCATTATTGAGGTTGACAACTAGGCAAAAAATAAGGACGAAACACTGGACAGAATCTAGATAAGAAACAAAGTAAACCGAAGAGAGTGGGCCATGTACGTGCTCCATCGCATGGTCCATCTAGCTTTAACATAATGGTCCACCTCGTGAGCACGCGACTCGATGTTGCAGGAAACCTGCATCACCGAATGCTTATTGTTGGCTTCCATGGGGAAGACACCATCAGACTGGACAGCATCTTCAGTTCGAGGAACAGAAAGCCCACTTAGCAGGTAGCGAAACAATGGTGAGTCGAGGAAGAAGTATGTAGAGGTTACACTACCAGTCATATGGACTTATCCTATGGATTCTGCTGAATAAAGACCATTGTGGGATAGGGAAGCAAACATACTCCAGGTAAACAGCCAGGGTGGCGCAGGGCCGAAGGTGTGCACCCAGAACCACACGATTGGACGGTCGAATCAACGCCCGAACAACAAGGCAGCACTGTCATCATTGTGCCAAGCAAGCAGTCCAATGAATCCAATCATTGTTTTCGATGACCCGATTATACCTTACTCCGTCAGTTTGACACTTTGCACATGTGAAGTGCACGCCAAACCATGCAGTAAAATAATCTGGATCACCTGAATCAGCTTGACTTACAACAGTATCTGACCCAAGAACAGAAATATCTTCCATCTACTTGAGAGTATTGTTAGTTGTGAATGTCATGGTTGTACGTGGGCTGGGATACTGCCAGGGCGCCCACACCTAGACAGGAGGACGATTAGGGTCCTCAACCAAAGCCGTTGACTCAAAAGCCTAACCGCAAGGCAGCGGTGTTTGACGGGAAAGGCAAATGCATTACCGTTCCATGTTCCAACACCCAAACCTAGAGGGACAGGAGACTGTGTTCGTCAGATTTCTAACTATTGACCAACCTGGTATGAGAGACTCTGTGAATGTCACGGGGACACTCCCCAGTATAGCTCAATGGATCGCTGGGTTGCGCAAACCGTCACACCATGGTAAGGTCCCGTCTCTTCGCGACAGAGTCCAGTCCAGAGGTGAAGTCACCTTGGAATCGTTGTGGTAAGCTAGCACCAAGTCCCTTCCTCATCCACCTTTATTCTTCTCTTCATCATTAGGCTTTCAAATAAATCATGGTTGTACGGCAGTGAAGCATCGGTGTTGAACACTGATGTCATGCTGTCGGTGATGATGATGATGATGCCATCTACTTGAAATTCGTACAATTCCATGTCATTCCATGGTAAAGACAACGGCTTTGGCTGCACAGCCACGGAACAGTAGCAGTTCGAAAACCATTTAGTTGGGCACCAACAATGCCATCAATATCACTGAATCACTTCAGGGTAGGCCCTGTTGGCCGCAAGAACCATCTATCCCATGGATCTGTTTTTATAGAATGCCTGCATGTACGTTGCCGCATCAGTGCATGATCAAGGGTATTCTGTATCATGAAACACCACATTTGACGCAAACGTTTCACGGTCAGAAAAACTGCACCACAGTTGACGCGTCTTTTTGCAAAAAAAAACTTTGGGCAGCACATAAGAATGTTTTGACAGGTGCAGCTCCCTTCAGGTTTGCGGCTTATCAGAAGAAAATGCCAGTAAAATACAGTGCTTTGAGAAGATACAAAATTCCAATAATATATAGGTCTCAAGATGTTTTAAGGCAGCCGTCGACCAACCTGTGTGCCCAAAGACGGATAAGTTGTGTAGAAATCAACCAGGACTTGAAAGGTGTTTAAAGAATGCAGAGCCAACAGCAGTCTATTACCGAAATTAAAAAACGTCCAGCTGTAACACTATTCCGGTGCCTATCTGCCATGCTACCTGGAGGAAGCGAAAGGGTTGGGATACTGCCAGGTTGCCTAAGCCTAAACAGGGGAAGTCGAGACGCAGAGGTCGGGTTCAAACTACGAACCTTCCGGTCTGTAAATTCGCGCTCTAACCACTTGGGCCATCTCGCCCCATAGAATATTAAAACCCTCCACGAGTGGTGCGTTTCACAGACGTCCCATATTTTCCAATTGCTTCCTATCTTTACATGCTTCATCACTTTTAACAACGGGCAACTACAAGCAAAATCAAATTCACTGAACAAGGCGATCGATGACAGACAGGCTAAGGTTGTTAATCGAAAATATTCGTTAGTGTATACTCCATCTGTGTGGAAAGTGGCACAAAATTTAACTCCGAAAGAGAACGCGGCGGGGGCCGCTCCTTAAACTGTTCGCAGAAACCAGTGTGCACCAGCGTAGGACAAATTCCTACCAGCGGTGCCGGCTACCTAAGGCAGTGTATTTAAGCTTGTGAGATTACCAAAACAATAAAGACGCACACCCCACAATTCAGTAGGTACATAGCCCGTTGCACGATACGAACAAATACAGCTGTCGTAAATATCGTGCCCTAGAGATGAACGTACTGCGAGTGAACCCGCTAGAGAAGCATCACAGCTTGAAAAAGCATACAATGTGGTGATTTAGCAAAGCAATTCCAAGTGTATTTCGTCGAGGAAATTTGTGAGCACATTAAAAATCAACAGTCGTAATTGAGCGATTGGATAACCGGAAAGATGCCATGGTGGTAGCCGACTGGAAAAACGGATGTAGAGGACGCATACATGGTGATTTCTATTAAGTTCCCATGTTGCCACGATAACAGCTCACTTCCAAGTGTCGGTGATGCATGACAGGATACAATAAGTTCTACTCTCAAGAAAAGTTAGAACTATGCTAATTCGCCAATCTAAGTAACCCCCGAGACTGTCAGGAATACAAGCTTCCCTCTTTTGAGTCACAGTCAACCCAACTAGACGCTCATTAATGGTTGTTTCAGTGATTGGCATATCAGCAGATAAGCAGAAATACTCGATATTCCAGCAATATTGTTTTCGATCAATCTCTGGACTCAGTTGGAGCAAAATAGGTTCCGACGATTGCGCACAGACAAGCCCCGGTAACAGTTGATCTGAAAACAAGCCCCAATGGAAAAGAAAGCCAACATTCATTGACGGTCGTTATTTATGGGAGAGATGATGTCTGGAAGGAAGCTGATATGCCAATTTCCTTCGGATTCTCCATGAAGATATGCGGCAGAATTTACGCAGATGGATGAAGGGCCGCTACCATCATTTGGACCATGGCTGGAGCACGGCGAAACCCACCGATGACTGCGAGGACCCTATGATTGATGATGATCTTGGATGGTCACGAAGATGCACGAGGGAGCGGAAGCCCGCCGCAAGACATCAAACTAATCTTGGTCTTGTGGTGAAAGGCCATGGCAATAAATTAGCAGGAGTGCGTGCGTGTCTATCATACGCTCACCCAAACGCTTCTTTGAGTTGGACCTCAAGTGCACGCCTAACAAGCGGCCTATCCTAATGCATAAGTGTTTTCATACGCTCCTGGTATAGTAGCGCTAGCGGAGTCCGGTGAGATTGACCGAGCTTGGCATGCTACCAGACTTACTATCCTAATGCACAAATGTTTTCATAAGCTCCTGGTATAGTAGCGGTAGAATCTTACGGATTCCGGCGACATTGACCGAGCTTGGCATGCTACCAGACTTAGGGTGTTCAGTAAAACCATATTGGCTATACTGATGTCCGTCCCCATGTGTTCAGAAAACAATGAGAAAATATCCGTGTCTCTTCAGGAACCGACGCACTACACACCCACTCATCATCGTCGTCATCATCAACATCATCATCATTATCATCATCATCGTCGTCATCATCAACATCATCATCATCATCATCATCATCGTCGTCATCATCAACATCATCATCATCATCATCATCATCGTCGTCGTCATCATCAACATCAACGTCATCATCATCATCATCAACATCATCGTCAACATCATCATCATCATCATCACTATCATCATCATCCTCATAATCTTCATCATCAGCATCAACATCATCATCATCAGCAGAATCATCAACATCATCATCATCATCATCATCATCAACACCATCATCATTTTCATCATCTTT